AAAGGGTTTGACCTCCTGTGTCCAAAACTGTAATATCAAACCTCAAATCGGTCAAGAGATGACGGAGCTATGAGCTAAAAGTTAGTGCTTGAAAAACATGAGGGAATCTTCAATAGCCGCTGCTGTAATTAGATCTCAAATTGGTCAAGAGTTGGAGCTATGAGCTAAAAGTTTGTACTTGAAAAAAAAACAAAAAAAAACTGATCCATTCTTCGAATCGCTATGCCGTAGCTAAAAGCATGTAACGCTTTGTCTTCAATTAAGTAACCAGCTACAGAATAACGATGTTATCACTATACCATCACATAACGAATAATTATACAATCCTATTTATAAATTAATTTCTATATTTGATGAATAACTCGTTCGCAAGAACCTTTAGCGGAAATTAACATTTAGATCTTTACGAAAGTTGTATATAATTATTCTTTCCCAGTAAAAAACATAACCACGATATACAGAAATATGCAAATTTTTCAATGTATAAACTTCATCGCTGTCAAATCAATTATTAAGCTTTCTAGTAATTTTGTACTTTAGTCGGCTAAGAACAGACAGCCTCGATAAGAGTTTTTTATTCAAATGAACATCATTTACTATCAAACAATAACAGCACATTTCTTAATTAAACGAGTAGGTTTATTTTCACGGAAAACATTTTTTGTGGTTTTCTTTTTTGCCTTTGAACACCTAATATAACAAGAAAATATGGTCTAGTCTTCAGATTACGCAATAACTGAGGTAGCTTTAAATATTATGTAATATCGTTATTTATACTATCATAGATGGCAAATGTTGTGCGTTTACTACTGACTTTTCGAAGCTTTTTTTTCATCTGTACGAAAGATTTTTTTTATATTGTTACGAACCAATTTATCAACCTTTTTTTTTTCTTTTATCTCTTAGTAATGATTACTTGAAGTTTATTTCATTTTAAAAATTGTGCACATTTTAGTAAAACAGGGAATTGTTCAAAATCTGGAGGAATGACACGAATTACCTAATCACTTCTAGAACTTCACGAGTTAAAATTTAAAACATCATAAATTTATTTAGGTCATTGCCATATTTTTCACCTCAATTAAACCTAGAAACTATATGCGTTAAGCGCCAGGTTACTGTGATCGTGGGCATGACTTTTCTTGAACAACAACGAAAAAAAAGTTGATCAATTTTGTTACTGAGCATGCATGAGAACCATTCACCCTGAATACATTCCCAGCAGAATATTTATTAGAAAATGGACAGCAGTGTGTATTAATGTTTTCTGTACATTATTCTTTTTTTCTGTACAAGATACAAAGAGTTTACACCAGTGCTCACCCGTTTGTGTAGAAAAGTACAAAAGGTATGAACCAAGGTATATAGCACTAAATAAAAATCTCACACGTTTAGTAGTCGTTAGCTAAAAGCTTTAATTTACTTGCTTATAGATGTATGCTGTTGATAACACACAAAATTAAATCAACCCCTTCTTTTAGATTTGTAAAACAGCTACATTCAGATAGTTTTTCGCAACACGAACTATGAGAAAATTACATAATAAAACTGACGTTAAATCAATTAAACTAAGTCAATAGTAATTTATCCTCATATGTACACAGTGCTAATACCTTGAATATAAAGTTAATAAGGTATATAATGATTACAGGCTGTTAGCCTTGATTTCAAAAATCCATCATTTGAAGGCATAATAAATAATTAGCTTTATACTGATGTTAAAACGTAATTGGATTGGTTTGAACTTCGCGCAAAGCTACACGAGGGCTATCTGCGCTAGC